TTCCTCAACATTTTGCTCCCTCTCACCTTGATTTCCCTCTTCTCAATTCCTCACCCACCAGGGCATGAATCCTAAGGCTTCTGTATTTTTTTCCTCTTTGCTGAACAATTTGTATCAGGGAGTCACTATCTCACTTCACGTCTCTCCTCTAGAGCTCACAACCCCGCTGGTGAAAGAGCTGAGTGAAGAATTTGAGACGGAAGCCCCCAAATCAAATCTGCCCCCAGAGCCTGTTCTGCCCCTAGAGGTACCTTCATCTTCCGACTTGGACTTGCCTCTGGGCACCCAGTGTTCCCTGGAGGACCAGATGCCTCATGGGAGCCAGACTGAGCTCCCCTCCACGCAGGTGTTTTCCGAGGAAGAAACAGGACAGCCCTCAGAAACCCTTAGGACCAGCCAGGGCTCAGACAAGCCCATGAGAGACCCTGAGACGCCTAGACCTGCAGGTACAGAATCTAAGGACAAGCTATAAGGGAGAGAAATTGGAATGATGTCTTGGGATAATGTCTACAGATAGTTTAGGAGGAATAAACGCTAAGCCCCTAATTTTGGCTCCTTTCTTTAACTCTTTACCCACCTAGGTTCTAAGCGAAATAGACGGAAACCAAGGGGCAAGGCACTAGGGAGGTCTCCCCTCACCATCCTGCAGGATGACAACTCCCCTGGGACTCGGACACTACGACAGGTAAAGGGGGAGGGGGAGGCTGTTCCTAGGAAGTCCAGCATCGAGGGGGGAGGCCCTTTCCCCCTTCTTCCCTCTCCTGAACAACCTCCCTCCCTCCCCCAACTTGCATCCTGCCTTTTGTAGGGTAAGCGGCCTTCTCCCCTGAGTGAAAATGTTAGGGAACTAAAGGAAGGGGCCATTCTGGGAACTGGACGACTTCTGAGAGCCGGAGGCCAAGCGTGGGAGCAAGGTCAGGACCATGACAAGGAAAACCAGCACTTTGCCTTGGCAGAGAACTAGGCCCTGGGTGGCCCCCGACCCCCAACCTGGGTTCACCAGGTCTAGTGACATTCCGAGTCCTCCGCCCCTTCTTTCCCTGGGAGACTGGAAAGACGCATTTTCTTCGACTCCCCCTAAACTACCAGCTCAGGAACTGATAGCTTTCTTGGGCTTTCTGTGTGTATTATGTGTTTCTTGTATATTAAAGGAAGTGATTTTAAGTGATGTTGTTAACTGTTATACTTAAACCTTGCAATGGGTCGTCTTCATGTAGAAAGGCAGCCTGGGGAGCTTGTGTTCCCTGGCCTCAGTGCCCCTGCACTGGTACCTCCAAATCTCCTCAACGCACCTCCCTTAAATTCTGGTGTTCACCAGAACTCTGTCCTTGGCTCTTTCCTCTCGCTCTTTATTTCTAGGGATTAGCTACTACTTACCTGTATTCCGGTTACTTCCAAATCTCTCTGTCTAACCCTGACCATATCCATCTGCCCCATAGGCAGTCCAAAGTCAGTTTGTCTAAAATTGAATTTGTGATCTTTCCCCAAAAAGCTATTTCTCTTCCCCCTTTCTTTTTTTAAATTAACATACTAGAGGCCTGGTGCACAAAAATTTGTGCACTGGTGGGGGGAGGGGGGTTAGGGGGTTGTCCCTTAGCCCCACTTGTGCCCTCTCACAGTCTGGGACCCCTCGGGAGATAATCACCTGCTGGCTTAGGCCTGCTCCCGGGTGGCAGATGGCAGGCCCGATCCCTCAGTGCCTGCCCCGCCTTCCCAGGTGGTGCGCGCACACGGCAGGGCAGATCCAGGAGTTGGGGCGCCGCCCCAGGTAGGGTCACACATGGGATGCCCGGATGGAGGCCGTGTGGGCTGGCCAATCGCTGCTGCACCGCCCTGCCGCCCTGGGTCGCAGATAGCAGGCCCAGATGGCGGTGGGGCAGGTGGGATGGCGCTGTCCCGCCCTGCCTGCAGTATGAAATTGAGCCGCCTTCTTTGTCGGTGGTTAATTTGCATATTGCGCTGATTAGCCTGTGGGAGGTGTAACAAAGGTATGGTCAATTACCATGTTTGTCTATTATTGGATAGGATTTTTATTGCCCTGGCCAGTTTGCTCAGTGGGTAGAGTGTCAGCCTGTGGACGGAAGGGTCCTGGGTTCGATTCCAGCCAGGGACACATGCCCGGGTTGCAGGCTCGGTCCCCAATATGGGGCATTCGGGGGCAGCCAATCAATGATTCTCTTTAATCATTACAAACATTTTTATTGATTTCAGAGAGGCAGGGAGAGGGAGAGAGAGATAAAAACATCAATGATGAGAGATTCATTGATTGGCTGCCTCCTGCATGCCCCCAACTGGGGATCGAATACAATCCAGGCATATGCCCTAACAGGGAATTAGACCATGACCTGGTTCATAGCTCTATGTTCAACTACTGAGCCACATGGCCCGGCTTTTTAAAACATTAAAAAAAAAATTTTTTTAATCGATTTTAGAGAGGAAGGGAGAGAAAGAGCAAAAACCATCAATCAGTTGCCTCTTGCACATGCCTGACAGCATGTTCCCCATCAGGACCAGGGATCAAACCAGCAACCTGGCTATGTGCAGGGGAACTGGGCAGGGGAAAGGACAGCTGAGTGCCTTCATGGCCTTTTACCTCCCCTCCTCCAGCCTCCTCATACCCGCCACCTTTCGGTGTGTGGGACTATGCTCCAACTCACTGAGCCACACCAGCCAGGGCTTGGCCATCATTTTGAATCCTTCCCTCTTAATATCTCATATCCAAGCACTTGTTCACTAAATCCTGGTTCTGTATCTTGAATCACTTTCCCATCCCTTTCCTTGTGCCCTCTGTCCTATTGCTCTTGCAATTTCTTGCCACCTGGCTCCTCCTGTTCCCTGTATTCCCTCCTGTCTCTCCTTTTTCCATTTTATCAACCTGCACGGCTGCTTGGTTTATCTTTCTGAGAAGCATAGCTGATCACATTATTATTCTGCTCAAAGCTCTTTAATGGTTTTCCATTGGCCTTAGGATAAAGTCTAGACTAGCCTTACATTCAAGGCCTTTTATAACCTGACTAGAGGCTCAGTGCATGAAATCTGTATGTCCCTCAGCCTGGCCTGCGCCCTCAGGGGGGATGCAAACCAGCAGTTGGACATCCCTGTCGCAATCAGGGACGCTGCATGCACCAGTGACCATACTTTTCATACAGGTGAAAGGCGTCTTGCTAATGTATGGGCAGCTACATTTTTTTGCCCTGATTATAAAAAGTAGTACATAACATGATCTTTCTGAGGTAGTAGTACCATTTCCCCCATCTTCTGGATGGAAAAACTGAAGCAGAGAAGCCAGAGTCCATGCATGTCATCACTGCATCATCCTGTTTTTTCAGTGTTAGAGTAGCCTTGCCAGGTTTTAATTTTTACATCTAAGAGACTTTTCCCAATACATAGGGTAGGATCCCTAGGCCTGGCCAGTGATCAGGGCCAATCTGTGGGGTGAATGGCGGGCAGGGCGATTGGAGGGGGCCCCCCCACTAGCACCCACCTTGGCTGGTGGCCTAGCGCTGTCCACCGGTCCCCGATTGCCTCCCTCTGTGTGTGTGTGATCTCAACACAATCCTCCTATACAAACACACAGGTACGCCCCACAGGCAGGCTATGGTGAACTCCTGTGCACACACTCCCAAGCCACCTGGTGAATACCTTCTCTCCTAATCCATCTCCGCCTTCCCCACGAACCTGGGGCTTCTGCCTCTTCCCTACTTTCTGCCCACAAGCTGTCTGGTACCCAATCTTTCTCACTTGTACCTATAACACTTCATTACTTAAGTGGGAACTGAATCTTTTTGGAACAGAAGTAGGGTGAAAGCCAAACATCACAGATATACCAGGTGCTATACTTTATTGCAGGTACTTTGGAGGGGGTGGGAAAGGTAGAAAAAGGGGAAAGCATGAAAGAGAAGGGAGCCAGGACGTTGGTGGTGCCAGAGCCATAGTCACGGGGCCAAGCACCCTGGCCACCCAGGTCTTTACCCTGGACAAAGGTAGTAGCTCTGGAGGAGGAATTCTAGGGCCTGGAGCCTATACTGAAACCTGCTGGGCTGCCAAGGGCTGGGGAGGGGTCCGTTGTCCTTAATCATTAAGGGAGAAACTATCAGGACCACAGAGAGGGGAGGCCATGGGAGGAGAAGGGGCGGTTCTGTGCCCAGCCCTGATGCTGTCTCTCAGAAGCACACCCTGTGTTCCCCACGGGCCTCAAAGGAGAAAGCTTGTGGGAGTGGCAGCTGGGGTATAGAAGAGAAAGCCTTTAAGGAACCTTAAAGAAACTGGGCAGGGGAAGGGGCAGCTGAGTGTCTTCATGGCCTTTTACCTCCCCTCCTCCAGCCTTCTCAGTTCCAGATTTTGAGGAAGCTGTCCCAGGAGCCAGTGGCCACTGCCATCCCATCAGCTGTGACACCCAGGCAGCTGACCCTGTTGTCGTGGCCGGAGAGGACGCCTGAGGAAAAGGGAGAGGAGTTAGCCAGTGGGTCTGCACGTGCTGATGTGGCAGGGAGTGTGTGTGCAGGCACAGGAATCCCCCGTTAGGTAGGCTGGGCTCCGACTCCAGCCCCCCTGGTGGAGACGGGAAGACCCAAAGAGGATTAGCCCTAAGAGTGCGGCTTCTCTTGAGGCCAATCTCTGCCAAGAACTTAGGGCAGGGGAGGGGTGGAGAGGGATGGCAAAGGGTCAGCAGGCAGTGTCCGTGTGCTATGAGAAAAGAAAGGGGCATCTGATGGGCACTGGAAAACGTGGGAAGGAACCCTTTTGTGCTGTTTCTTTGTTTCCAAACCAAGAGACTGAGGCCCAGAGAGAAGGGACATGCCCAGGGGCACTTGGAAAATAAGCCACAGAATTAGGGTTTGGACCCTGACCTTCTGGCCAGTGTTATTTTCACTGAGCACCTGACCTCTCCCAAGAGAAGAAGCCAGACTGACTCAACTGCAGACCAGGCTGATCCCATGAGCCCCTCGCTGGGGGTCAGGGCCCTCAGATCACTCTGGACCTTGATCCGCTCATCGCATGGTTCCCCGAGGCCGCCCTTTCCCTGCAATGAAGCCGCCCCTGAATCCCAGACCTGGTGGGACACTCAGGTCCTCAGGCCTGGGCACAGCCTGGAGGAGCTGCGTTGGAGGGAGCGGTTCGGGCCCTGGGCGGTAGGGAAGGCCCTTGGAGCAACTCTTCTTCCAGAGAAGACCCCACATTGGGAACCAAAGGGACACGGTTGCAGGGGCAGAGCCCAGAGTTACCTAATGACCAGGGAGCAGCAGTAAGTTCCCCCAAGGGGAGCTGGCTGAGGTGGCAGTGAGGGGACCCTTACCCACACGCTCGCCCTTCATGGAGTCCCAGACATTGCAGTTGAAGTCGTCATAGCCTGCGAAGAGCAGGCGGCCACTGAGGGAGAAGGCCACGGACGTGATGCCACAGATGATGCTCTCGTGGGCGTAGACCGTCAGCTCCTGGTCTGCCCGCAGGTCAAACAGGCGGCAGGAGGCGTCGTCTGAGCCTGTGCAGATGGCCTCTCCACTGGGGAAGAACTGAGGGCACACAGGGTGAGGGGGTCAGCACTCGGACCTGGGCACCGCTGCCTCGCCTGCCTTCTCCCTGGCTCCTGCCCTGGTGGCTCCCGGGCAAGCTGCTTGCCTCAGCCGCCCTGGCTGCCCCTCCCCTGGCCTTCGGTGAGAAAGGCCACGGCATCGCTCTTCATGCACTGGCAGCTCCCCCACACCCTGCCCTGGCTCCTCATGACAGACGGGCATTATTCCCTGAGGCTGAGCGAGCGCCTGCAGCCTGCCCAGGCTCCCGGGGCTAGAAGGGGGAGGTTGTCTCTGACCCGTCCCGCCACACTCAGTGGATCAGAGTGTAGGCGCAGGGCCAAGTACAAACGCATAACCCGAGTCTCATCATGAGGAAATGTCAGGTCAGCCCACACAGAGAGAAGTCTACAGAAAACTGGTTTGTACTGTACTCTCTTAAAATGTCACTGTCACACAAGACAAAGGTGGAAAAACAGTTCCCGTTTAAAGGAAACTAAGATGTGGCAAGAAAATGCAACATGTGTTCCTGGCAGGAAAAAACCCCCACTGCTGTTAGCGATATTGTTGAGATACTCGGTGAGATGCGAATATAGACTGTAGACTATATTATTGTGTCTACATTAATGTTAAATTTCCTGATTTTAAGAACTA